AAGAACTTGAAGAGTTTGTGAAAATGGAAAAGCCCTCTCCAGCAGTCCAAGTTGGGAATGATTTCTTTGATGCAGATGGAAACTTTTTGTATAGAATCTGAGAACATGTTGTGTTGTTAGCTCAGCATGTAGAATATTGGGGTCGTGCAAATTACCAAATAAAAGTTATTTTGAATCTTTGTGCAAAAGATATTTGCACTTTTTTTTTCTCATCCAGATATTTCACGCCCATTTCACCCATGTATTGACTTCCCAGTTTATCCCTATGTCAATTTTTATATAAGTCATAGACAAATACACTCACAAGCCACTTTATTAGGTGCACCTTGCTAGTGCTGGGTTGGATCCCCTTCTGCCTTCAGAGCTGCTTTAAGTATTAGTGGCACAGATTCAACAAGGTGCTGGAAATATTCAAAGATTTTGGTCCATATTGACATGATAGGAATTATATGACATCATAAAGTCATACAATTGCTGAAAATATGATACATACATGATGAAAACTTCTTGTTCCACAACATCCCAAAGGTACTATATTGGTTTGACATATGGTGACTGTGGAGGCCATTTGAGTGCAGTGAACTCTGTCATGTTCAAGGAACGAGTCTGAGATGATTTGAGCTTTGGTATCCTACTGGTGGGTTTAATTTGTGCATACATGGATGGATGCAGTCAGCAACAGTACTCAGGTTAGATGTAATCTGACACTCTAGAGGTCCCAAGTCTGACAAGAAAGTATCTCCCACACCCTTTCACCACAACCAGCAGCCCAAACTGTTGTGCCTTCAGAGATGCTCTTCTGCATACCTTTGTTGTAATGAGTGATTATTGGGTTTTTGTTGCCTTCCTATCAGCTCAAAGCAGTCTAGCCATCAACAATTCAATTGCCTACAAATAAGCACTCAGATGCCAGAGGAATGATTACTTCAGTTGTTACACAACCACAATTCTGAACTTATCCCTTTACAATCTTGAAACTGGGACGCTTTGTAAAATGTAAACAAAAACGGTATGCAGTGATCTCATAAAGCCACTTTTCATCCACAGTCAAAGACACAAAACATCAGATTTAAACTGAACCACAGTGTACCATCACAAGAAAAATATTTTTAACTTGATGGTAGCAACAAATGTCTAAAAAGTTAGGAGCGTGCCATCGTGTAACATCCCCTCGTCTTCTAACAAATGCATTTTCTTTGTTCTACTGTGAATAAAATCTGGGTTTATCCGACGTACAAATCACTACACTGGTTTTTTTGGAACTGGGTTTTTATAAATCATTTGAAAATATCCCCAGTTGACAGTTAACCATTATTAGTGTTAGTCTCACATTTCTGCTTTACTGCCGTTAGTGACAAACCACCACGCAGCACAAATAGAGGAACATATGAATTTATTGGCAAACCCAAAGAAAATCGTCTCAAATATACAGAAAAGAGAAACATATCCGATAAAAAGGTGTAACCTTGTATATGTACAGAACCATCACAATGACTTCATTTATACAGCAGTTTTAAATTTTAAGAAAAAGTGTGTTACCTTCACCTAAAGCAATAAATGGTCGTAATAAGAACTCGCCAGGTCTCTTCCAGTGTAAAGCGGCTACATGATAACCCTG